ATTTCTTAATCAAAAGCATTTGAGAATAAAAAAAATTTTGAAAGTTATTTATTAAAAACTTTTATTATTCAAAAAAACTTTCTGCCATTCTTTTCGCCAGGGACTGTATATGCTCAACTAGGAACGTAAACAATCCTGTTAGAAATACTGGAGAAAATATTAGTATACTAACTGGTTTTAATACTGGACAACGTGCTGCATTATCACAGATTTCACTCCACTGTCACAAACCCCATGACCTTCCCTCTTTCAAATCCACTACCAGTAAACACCTTGAATCCGTTTGCTTCTTCGTCTCAGTCTTTAAACTATTGACGGTATCTCAGGAGGGTAAGCATACCAATATAAGCATAAACCCCTCAGAATTACCAAGAGCTGTAGAAGCAGTTTATTGTAATGCTACTGTAGACAATAAACCAATATATTTAATTTTAAATTCAGGATCAGCTAGAAGTGTAATGTCTAAATCCTTTCTACAACTATTAGAGCAAAAAATTGAATCAGCTTCTATTATCACGATGATTAACATACAAGGAAGACAATCACGACCTCTGAGACGAGTCACTAATATTCCCTTACAAATAAATAGTATAGAAGTCCCTATTAACGTCAATATTACAGAATCGACTGATTATTATATAGTGGCAGAAAATGATTGGCTTACTAAATGTCGAGGATGACTTTACTGGGATTGTTAAAAATTCACATTTATCTGAAATAATAAAGAATATCAGGTACCTATGATCTGTTAGGAGAAAACAGTTCGATCATTTTCAGCAACCTGTTGATATTATCAAAAATTCCTCTGATAAAGAATATGAAAATGAGGAATTGATAGCTCAACGACACTATATAATATTAGGAGATCACAACGATTCCATCCTTTTGGCTGAAAGTAGTCTAAAACAAACTTTGGTAGATGAATAGAAATATTTCCTCCAGTACTTTGAAAGTTTAAACCAAAAATTTAATGTTCAACTATCCAAAGACGTAAAATAGAAATATCATTGGTAAGGATCAGGAAATTGATATTGGTGTCATAATAGATTAGATAAAATTGATGACAAATACCAACTATATAAGAAGGAATAGGATCACTAGCAACTACTACAGAATATTCCAGATAAACCACTATCTTGCGAAACGACCTATAAACATCTTAATGGACTTCAATAATAACAAATCACTCAATTTCTATATAAACATGGTGATGCTTTCACCGAAGGTTTATCACAATTAGGACATACAATGATCAAGACGCATCATATACCAGTAGAAAATCTGATGCCTATACGATAACGTGTATACAGAGTAGCTCCCTTGAAACAAGAATTTATCAAAGATGAAGTTAGTAGGATGTTGAAATACAATCTGATACAACCTTTTGAAAGTCCTTGAGTTTTACCTGTTATTCTTGTTCGAAAGAAAATGGGAAACTTCAGTTTTGTATCGATTACAAGAAACTCAATAGTGTTACTCAACGAGATGAACATCCCTTGTCATGTATTAATGAGTTGTTAGATATGTTCAAAAAGGCTAAGTATTTTTCAACTTTAGATTTAGCCAGTGGATATTGGCAGGTTGTCATAGATCCAAATGATCAAGTTAAAACAGTTTTCATAACCAGTCAAGGACTTTATAAATTTAAAGTAATGCCATTTGGATTAACAAATGCATCTGCAACTTTCCAATGTCTAATGAATAAGATTTTTAGAGAGGAGATTAAACAGTTTGTAGCTGTGTATCTTGATGATATCATCATTTTTTCAGATACCTTTGATACACATTTACAACATTTATAGCTCATTTTTAAACAATTAAAGGATGCTGGACTCAAACACTTGGGAAAGATAAATGCGAATTTGCTAAATTAGAATTAGCATTTCTAGAGCATATTGTGAGTGAACAAGGAATCGCACCAGACCCCTCTAAAATAGATAAAATCAAGAATTTTTCAATTCCAAAGAATATTACTGAGTTGTGAGGATTCCTAAGACTAGCATTGTATTATAGAAGGTTTATTCAGGATTCTCGACATTAGCTGCACCTTTGCATTTATTATTGTGAAAAGATATACTTTATATTTGGACGGAATCGCAACAAAAGGCTTTTGAGCATTTAAAAACATGCCTTATAACTGCATTAGTCCTAATTTATCCTGATTTTAAACGTAAGTTTTTACTCTTTACCGATGGTTCATATATAAGCCTTGGCGTAGTATTAGCACAATTAGATGATAATAATAAGGAATGCGTCATAGCTTATGCTAGTCAAAGTATAAGCCATGCTGAACGAAATTATGCTCCAACTGAATTAGAATGTCTTACCACTATATGGAAAATGGAACACTTTCGACCTTATTTGTTACATCAACAATTTGAACTAATTACTGATCATACAACCCTATAATAGCTTTTTAATAAACCTGACCCTCCTCAAAAGCTTATGAGATGGATAATTCGTATTATGGAATTCCTATATCAAATTCAATACAAAAAAGAAAAATTACATTCAAACGCTAACGCATTATCCCGACTTCCTCCACAATAACCTGCAGTAATCATAATAAAAATCTGAGAGTAAAAGTGTAAGTATTAGCAGTGTGACTAACAGCTCTACAACATGGAACCTAAAACCCACCACCAATTATACCAATATCTTACTCAACTCATATACCCCCTAAATCTCACCCTTTACAACAACACGCAATTCAAAAATAAGCTCAACATTATTTCGTACAAAACTAGCAACTTTATAGACATAATTGTAAACATTTAACTCAACCATTACTTATAATTAAAGTCAATGAAGTTGAAGGTATCCTATATAATATTTATAATGAACCTTTGGGAGGACATTTAGCACGTAATATTACCTACAATAAAATTGCCTCTCTATATTACTGATCTAGTATGTATAAAACAATTGATAATTGGATATGAATATGTGATATATGCCAATGACAAGAAAAGCCAAAACCCAAAGAATCATTGCATCCTATACCTGTTAGACAACTATTTGATCATATTGGAATAGATTACGTAGGACCACTTCTATGTATAACAAAAGAAAATAGATATATTATTGTAGTGACTGAATATTTGACAAAATAGGTTGAAGCTAGTGCCACATCAGATTGTACTGCTCAGACTACTGCACAGTTTATTTACAATAAATCATATGTTGACATGGAATGCCAAAAGAAATATTGACTGATCGAGCAATGTCATTCCAAAATGAATTAGTCACTGCTTTGTTACATGTAGTAGGGACTAAATATAGATTATCTTCACCATATCACCCACAGACTAATGGCCTTACTGAATGCTTTAATAGGACCTTGTGTATAATTTTAGCCAAGTACACTGAACAACATTATGGAGAATGGGATATTTATTTGACATCAGCATTATTCACATACCGAACTGCTCAGTAGGGAACAACTAAATTCGAGCCATTTGAGTTATTATATGAACAAAAAACAGTTTTACCTATAGATTTACAATTACGGCAACCTTCACCTATTACAAACTTATCGAATTCTATAGAGAAATATCAGCAGATAATCTCATTACAATTGTAATAATAATGATTAGATGCACAACAAAATATTGCACGTCTGAAATGTGTGCCAGGTTACATTGATCATATAATGCAGCTATCAATTTTTTGACTGACTGTAAACATCAGAGACAAACAAATTGATCACGATCGCGTGATCTAACCAATAAACAATCGCGTTATACTAATTACTCCTTTATGTTTTATTTGTGTTCTATTTTTTTTTTTTTTTTTTGTGTTAGATTTTTTTTTCACATACCTCTCTTTTCGAAAGTTTCAAAAGCAAGACAAATTTTTCTTTTCATTTATTGTAAGCGTATTAGTCCTCATAATGTAGTATATAAGCAACTTTGTATATAAAAATAAATTATATTTATTCGTCAATTTTAAAGTTTCGGAAGTTACACAACTAGTATAACTCATGATCAATATGGAAGGAGATAACACTGAACAAACACCGGTTAGTTAATTTTACACACTTTCTTTGAAAAATTTAAAAAAAAAACTGAGTTTTGGGGTAAAAATTTATATATAGAACAATTATTGTATAATTATTATAGTAGTATTTATATAGCGAGTTTATTATATGAGTTTATTTATTTATTATATAGCGAGTTTATTTCATAATATAAGATAGGGTTTATAGGTTTAATTATTCATGTTATTATATTTATTCTTATTGTATTTTTATCATGTGACTTTAATTTGTAAAATTGTTATCAATTTAAGAAATATCATAATAAAATTGATAAATTTCTTTATAGATCTCTTGGAATCTTTTACCAAATGTTTTGAAACAAATATTACCTTAGGATTATACCTACCTAATCACAAATTTTGAAAATCTGCCACCATACCAAACACAAGAGGGTTTTGAGGTTACAAATTTTGAATTGAAAGCGTTTGTGAATGTCGATAGTAAAAGAGAAGCAGATGAATGGCTTGTAACATTTCAATCATGATCTAAAACTATAATGGCAGAGACTAAAAAGTTTGAAATCAAAGAAAACAAAGTGCTTTTTTGAAAGCTATTGCATTGTATCTATAGCAATCAAGTTAAGAAAAAGCAAGGAAACCGTGAAGTAAAACGTCCAAATTCATCTCGTGCTCAAAATATAGGTTGTACAGCAACCATATACCTTCGATTAGAGCGTCGATGACTCCTACTTAATCACCCACTAGAAATAAATATAGTATTCACGCATAACTATGTTATTAATGCAGCAGAGTCACTAAGTTTTTAGCGTGTTGATAGCGAAGTCTGTGAAGAATTTTTAAAATTATTTAATGATAGTCATTCTTCGTCTTTAGCATTACATGTTTATAAAGATAATCTTCATCTTAATGCTTCAGATGAACAGGAATTATTGGAAACTTTAGCAGATCGAGCTAAAAATCCAGGTTATGATTATGTCGCAAAACTTTTCAAAACTATTGTGAAGTTTCTCTTGGAGGAAGTAACGGAAAATTAATGTTTGAACGATTAGCAGAATTGGTTCAAGATTATAATGATAAAGGACAAGGGAAAGCTGTTTTACAAGAATATGATACACACGCTGGCAAAGCCTTTATCCTTTGCATTATAACAAGTTTAATGTGCAGAGTTCACGAAAAGGTCTTACAAGCAGGTGAATTATGCTATGTAAATGCTTTGGCATCATTTGATTCTCTCAATTCTTCGATTATATTACTTTATACAAGTTGCACAGTCAGAGCTCTTCCACTTGGCTTGTTTGTCACTTCGGACGAACTTGAAATCACTTTAAAGAAAGCAATGAATCTACTTAAAACAGTTCTTCCACCATATGCTTTCTTCAGACGCGGACCTCAGATTGGACTGATGGTTTTTTTAACCAACGATTCAAGTGCAGAGCGTAATGCACTGGAACTATGTTGGCCAAAAGGTAACATTAACATATATTAGTATTTATTTTAAACAATATATTAATAATTTAACGCTAATATTCCAAATCATCACAGGGATTCACCTTTTGTGTACTTTTCATTTTCTTCAGGCATTTTGGAGGTGGTTATATGATTCAAAACATAAAGTTAATAAAGAAGACCAAGTGCCTATAATGGAAAAAGCAAGAAAAATTTTGTATGCATTATCAGGTTCGGAAATGAAAATACATTATGAAGAATTTAAGCAGAAATTTTATAATCACCCACAACTGCGGAGTCATTTTGAGCTTTTGTGGAAGCATCGCCAATTTTGGGCTTTGTCATTTCATTTAAACTTACCTATGTGTGGTAATAATACAAATAATTATATAGAGCGAAGCTTTGGTATAATGAAAGATATTATTTTTGCAAGTACAAAAGCTTACAACCCAATACAAATTTTTCAATTTATAATCATAACTATGGAAAGGTTTTTTGAAAGGAGAGTGCTTAAAATTGCACATAAGCATGTAGGACATTTACGTATTGCCAAACGATTCTTGTATCCCAATTGGGAAACAATAAATATGGATGCAATTCAAAAGACTTGTGTGGATAATGAGTTTTTGGTACTGAGTATAAAAGATGCAAACACTTTTTATATCGTAAATAGTGAGATTGGAGTATGTTCTTGTCCTGTTGGAATGACCGGTACGCCCTGTAAACATCAAGGGGCAGTATCAATGAAGTATCATCTTTCAAATTTTAATTTTATTCTGTCGTTGACGTTAAATGATCGTATAACCTATGCATATATAGCACTCGGTAAGTAGTAATAATTACTTATCTTCATCAATGTATTGAATAAGATAATAATGGTTTTTTTTTTAAGTTATATTGCCGAAAACAAATCTTTCTATGCATCATTATATGCATAACAATCTATTATACAAAGCCAACATGCTGAATTGAGCAATTTTTTAGCTACTGAGTGGAAGTAAGGTTTTTTTTTTGTCAATTAGAATTTTATGATTTTTATTAACAAATTCTTTGTAGGGGACCTAGAGAATCAAATGAAATAAATGAAGAAATAGAAGATTTCGATATTTCTGAGTTTATTTCATTTTTAAATAAAGTTAAATTGATCAAGCGTTACGAACTGCGCTAAACAAGTTTAAAGACCGGTATAATGCTGCAAAATCAAAGTCAATACTTCAGTTGTTTTCATTACTTTACGATCTCAATCATGATCTAGACCCGATAGTTCATATCAAAAGTAGTGCACACATAAGGGTTCAAGTAGAATCAATTAAAAGACGCAAAATGGAAGGTGGTAGTTCTAAACAAAGGTTACCTGTTCTTATAAATAAAGATAAAGAAAATTTAGATCCTCATGCTATTCCTGTTCGGAAAAAGAGGAAAACAGCCAAAAAAGAGCATAATTTATGCAAGAATATATTGAGCAATCGTCCAAATTGAAGGAATTGGAAAATTGAAGTTATTGGATACATATTTTTTTTTTCTTATAATTGTGAAGTTTTAATTTACGCGTTTTATTTGCATATAGAAAAAATAAGTACAAATTGTAATTACATAAATGAAAATAAAGCTAATGAATTGTTAAAACTTTTCAAAAATTTATTGAAAAAAAAAAAAACACGAAAAATAATTTTTTTGTTTATATTTTTTATTTTTTTTTTGTTTATTTTTTTGTTTATTTTTTTTTTTTTAATATTATCAATTTTGCTGACAGTATGTAAGTAAAGTCAGGTTGATTGACTATTACAGTTGCTGTGCCTCTTACTCTAGCATACATATTCAGCGTAACCTGATACACATTTCAGACGTGCAATCATTGTTTATTATGACGTAAGTGATGACGCGCTAAAGTATGATATGTAATAATAGATCAGGATCAGCCAATCACAAAGGGGAGGTCTAGAATAAACTTCTAGACCCCCTGGTGCAGGTTAAGATTTCCCGCTTTAGACGCCCTCCGAAACAGGGACGATGATCTCCGACTTTAAGTCGGAAGCCGCAGGTTTAGCAGAATGTTATATTAAACGCTGAAGTTATAAAATATATTGCAGATCTTCGCAGAATTTAGGAGATCGCGTGTGTCACATTAGATTAACCAATCAAAATTGGATTTTTTTTTTTATTTTTTTAAGTTTCGTTAACGTTTTATGGTTAATTGTTAATAAAAATAGTTTGAAGCAAAGTAACTATATATACTCGTTTGTCTGAATACCCTTCTGATTTTAGAGTTGATGATGGCGTTTTACTTTGCATTTATTGTAATCATGCCGTTAGGTGGGAAAAAAATCAACTATTAACGATCATATTCGTGGCATAATTCATCGTTCAAAAAAAAAAGAATATGAAAACAAACAAAGAACCAACGGAATTGTTTTACAACAGAGGACAATTGCCTCAACAATTTCAATTGCTGATAGTAAAAAGGATTTAATAGAAGATTTAATTCATGCTTTTGTTACTGCTGACATACCTTTAGAGAAAGTGAATTCCCTTCTTCCTTTTTTCCAAAAACATATAAAACAAGGAGGATTTATTCCTCAAGCACCTACCTTACGTCAAATCTATTTACCTCAAGTTTTCAAAACCCATTTTAATCAAATTAAACTCTTATTTGAAAATAAACCAGTGGCAATTACTATGGATGAAACTACAGATGATTGTGGGCGAAGTGTAGTAAATACCCTTTTTCATTTTCAAAAAAATACAAAATTAGTTTCTGTAGATTTTTTGATTCAAGTTAATAATTCAACAGTAGGATCTACCCTTCTTACAATTTTGGCAAACTACCATATTCCTTTTTCTCTTCCTCAGCTGTTTCTTTCAGATTCAGCTGCTTATATGAAAAAATATTTTAATGAAGTATTACATCCTGTTATGCCTCAATTGATTCATGTACCTTGTTGTGCACATATATTAAATTTAATAG